TGAAGTAGACTTTAGAAGGAAAAGAAATATAATCCTAAGTAAGAAAGAAGGCATAAAACCCTACTTCTGTTCAAAAGAGTATAAACGAACAATATATATATATATATATATATATATATATATATATATATATATATATATATATATATATATATATATATATATATATATATATATAATCTCCGACTGACGCCAAATCAGCCAGGTTTCGATCCTAGCTAGATGCAACTTGACATCTAGTCACACTGATGAGCTGTCATACAGGGAAACAGTCTGTCCGTGGATGTCAACATATACATATATAATGGCTATTTTTGTAGTGATTTTATAACATATTTATGTTATGATTTTTTAAGTAAATAATATATATATATATATATATATATATATATATATATTCCATAAGATATCTAACAAAATCTTGAATGCTGAAAATACTTAATTCTAGGTTGTGACCAAGGTTGTTGAAAAAACCATGGCGTTTGCAAAATTTCCAATGATTTATTTAGATGTGCAACAACTTGCTAGAAAATTGTAAAAATACAATTAAAACTTAAACGAACAGACGTTTTCAGTTGAATTAAATAAATATTGTTGAAATATATACAAGGTGTGATGGGTAAATTGACGTCGTGTATTTTTAAAATTGTTTATTTCTGATTTTGTCGATTGCATAGTATAATAGGGTCAAATAGGTACCATCTGTGAACAAAAAGAACACCATAACGCAATTCACTCAGCCAGAAATTTGGAGACGGCATGATTCGCGCTGAAAGTTCCAATACGAACATTTTGGAGTGTTTGGGACAGTGCTGGAAGACCCTTTATCTGTCACCATGCACCAAAAGCAGAACACATTTATGGCTATCAAACAATTTCTGCGACCACACATCACTCCTTACATCTGGCCACCTAATTCTCCAGATTGAAACAGCCTTAATTATTATGTGTGGGACGCAGTTGAGCTACAGAGCAAGAAATCTACTTGTAATATCAACGATGAACTGAAGGTAAGGACTATGGCAGCATTCACTAACTTAAACAAGCAGACCTTTCAGAAGAGTTGCAGGAGATTCCAAAATCGTCTGGAGAGCATGGTTGAGGTCAATGGCGATTGAATAAATTTACACTTTAGTATTTATATTTTATGTATCTTTGGTAAATATATCTGTCAAAATGAGATGTCAGTGTTATTTTCATTTCTGTGTAATTTAAACAATTTATCCATCGCATCCTGTATATAACAATAATTACTGTCTGTTGGTCCTATCGAGTAGTGTTTCTTGCTGATAAGTTGCAAATTTTCTTAATTCGATTTTAAATCGCACTGCCTTTTAAACATTAAAGACATGTTTATTCTACAATGAGTTAGATTATTTTACGCATAGCAAATGTCTCAATCCCGTTATATATATATATATATATATATATATATATATATATATATATATATATATATATATATATATATATATTATTATAAAGCCCAGGGGTGTGTGTGTCTGTACGTTTATATATTTGATCGGATTTCCAACATTTTTCAACCCATTTCAACAAAACTACACAGGACTACGTAAAATTAACTTGCGCCAAAAATTTGAAAAACACAATTGCTTTTGCACAAAGACAATTTGAAAACACAATTAAGAGGCATCGCGAGAATGAAAGGGAGACAACTCATATCGAGTTACACTTATTATAAAACCCATGTTGTTTGTGTGTGTGTGTTCGTTTATTTATGGGATCGGATTTCCTACATTTTTCAACCGATTTCAACAACTTCACTTTTTTTTTTTTTTTTTTTGGCAGGTAGTGTTTCTTATTGTCTTGCATACTTTTTTCTTTATTTTTACATTCAGAATACTTCAAAAATTCCATTTACAAGACATTTGTTTATAATAAAATTCAATCAGTAGAATCATAATGATTGAAAACAATGTTTTTGTTTGGGTTTGACCATTTCGTAAAAAAAAAAAAAAAAACAACAAAAAAACTAATTAAGACATGCGTGTCCGTCAATCTTAAACAATAATCTTTGTCAATTTTATTTTTCAGTTTTTATGATGGTCGATACTTGATCTATCTCTTATTGATACATCCCCGGGCAACGCGGGGAAACGCCGGTCTCTGCTACTAGTATATATATATTTATGTATTTACGTATTTACGATTCCAATGGAATAAATTATGACCATGGAATATTAGTGTTTAAGCCTTTTTATTATATATATATATATATATATATATATATATATATATATTAAGTTAAGGGGTTTTGAAAACAGTAGAATGAAGCATCGTAACCAGCTTCGTCAAGCTCTGAAGCAGAGACGACATAAAATTCCTGCTTTAACAAATTTCAGCTGTCAGTGTGGCTTTGTCTCTCGCAGCAAGGCTGGGCTAATATCACACTTAAGAAAGCACAAATGAAATGTTTTTTCCTTACCTGATTTTCTCCACAATAGCCCCTGCTAGCATACATAAGTGTAAAACGAAAGTCACCATCCAAGCAGACCCTCATTTATTGTTCCCGATAAGAGAGTCCGCCATATATATATATATATATATATATATATATAGTTTTAAGGTGTGCTATATTTATGGGAAGTGCTTAATATCAGAGAGGGAACGTATGTAAATATAAATCTAAAAGTGAACATTGAAGTCAACACTCAGAGGCGACCTGACCATTGCGTTTAGCATGAAACAGCCTGTCGCCTCTGAGTGTTAACATCAATGTTAACTTTTATATATATATATATATATATATATATATATATATATATATATAAAAGCAATTTGTAATTTTGGGGATCCGACATTATTTCTTATTACCATAAATGTTGTATTCGGTGTTATTCGATATGTAGATCGTTAGGGTTTAATTTGACTGTTTAAAAGCAAGGATGAAAAAAATACTACGATAAGACAACACATTAATAAACAGCATAAGGAACATAGTACATTTTGGTCCGAATGTCTTGTCACTTCCTACCAAAAATTAATGAGAACATTAGAAGAACAAATAATAAATTAATACAAAAGACATGTACTGGATTCAGATTATTAATTTTCATTGATGCTGTCATATGTCGAAAAGGTTTGTATGAACACCATCATTTTCATACCACAAAATGATGCGACGCCATGTCATGTGTGATATTTTATGAAAGTGTGCTTTGTCGATTATAGGAAAGGTTCTTCGAACGGCGTCCTTCAACTAACGGGCATTCTGGTATCTTTCATGCGTAACTCTCTCCTTGCTAATACCCGACTGAGCATTGAAATAGAAGATTATTTGACATGACGGGATGACATAAATTTAGGACTAACCTTTACACTAGACAGCTACTCACAAAAATACCAAAAAATACTAAAAAAACTAAATAGTAAAACCAAATTTATGATCCTTGAAGCAATACTCCTACAATAATATCAGTCATTAATAAATGAAAAAACAATTCTAGCTTAAGAGCGTGTATCCTGATATATATATATATATATATATATATATATATATATATATATATATATATATATATATATATATATATAAACACGTCACATATCACGGACGTCGCACCACTCTTTGTCTACGTCACTAGTCACTCACTAGTTGTCCAAAACTCACCATTGTCTCTATCTATCCTGATGGTGACTTAATAAAGTCGAAATCTTACACCATGTCTTGTACTTTTCTTCCGAATTTAACTGCGAACAATTTCCGACGGAATTTTCTCCTTGTCTGAGAAGAATTATTCTTAACTTGGAAAAGTTGATCGGTAAAATTACTTGAGACAAAATGTCTGCTGTTTTAAATAATATTTGCCTGAAAGAACATTTACTGCTTAAATACACAAAGGTATGTATGCGTGTGTATGTGTGTGTGCGTGCGTGTATTTAACAAAGTTTGTGTTTTCCTAAAAAAAAAATGAAAAATAGAAAATAACAGTCGAGCAAAGGATTTCTGGAAGAGTCTTTGTAATTATAATGCGCGATATCAAGACATAGAATATTAATCTCCACGAAACTCTGAGACAAGATAAGTGAAAATTTCATGATATATATATATATATATATATATATATATATATATATATGTGTGTGTGTGTGTGTGTGTGTGTGTATATATGTAGAGAAAGAGAGAGACGGGGGAGAGATTGAGACAGGGACAATATTGTGAGCAATGTCAATGATCATGTGTGTGCTTTCGTCTTGATACAGGTTGCGTGGAATTCTGCGTGAATGCCAGCAAGTGTCAGATGCAGACAGATTCTGGCAACTTAAAAGACGCAAGATTCAAGATGAGAGGAAGAAAATAGAAACTGATTTATTAAGACAGAAGCAGGTTACTCTTCCGTTATGAAAACATCACATGTTAAACAAATATATTGGCGAGAAAAGAAAAGAAACATCATTTCTACTCCGGACTTAAAAATTTAAAAATGCAGAAAGAGATTAAGCAAATGTGTGTGTCTGTGTGTGCGTGAGTGTTTGCGTGTACGCGATAACGCAAACATGAGTCTGTGCGTGTGTGTGTGAGAGAGCGAGAGAGAGAGAGAAAGAAAGAAAAAGGGAGAATATATGTGTGAATATAAGATAGATTGCGTGATATGAATTTGTTATTAATCTGCATCTGGGTGTGTTCGTCCTAGTGTGTATACGTTTTTTATTAAATTTTAACTCAATAAATGTCCCAAGATCCTCTCAAGGTAGAGGGTTATTGAATGAAGTCGTTGTATAGATGTAACAGGAGGAAGTCGTATGAGGATATGTATGATAGACAACGGTTGACCCTAGGCATGAAAAGGTTACGTTTGTAGCAATTGGAGATGCCACCTTTCGGGACTCTGTTCCAGTTTTGTGATTGTTATATATGATTTATGAAAAAAAGATGTTAAGCAGACATTGTTCAGGTCTAAATACACGATTTATTTTGTAATCCAGTATTTAAAATTTTTACAAACACGCATCATTGACGGCGGGAGGTGAATGCGAATTCAATGGAGCAGATAGAGTGAGAGAGAGAGAGAGCGTGAGAGAGAGAGAGTGAGAGAGAGACAGAGAGAGAGAGAGACAGATAGAGACAGACAGACAGACAGAGAGAGAGAGACAGAGAGAGAGAAAAGACGTGTATAAATATAGATTTCGTTCAAGAAAATGTCCCGATGTGAGAATGATAGGGGTAGATTATATCGTAAGAATTGCTGCTATTTACCAGTGTGTTCATGTAATACAATTTATATACGCAGCAGCAAATTCAAACACAGATATTTACACGCAGTTGCTTATATCATCATCATCATCAGCAGCATCATCATCAGCAGCAGCAGTAGCATCATCATCATCATCATCAATCCTATGATCGGGTGTGGTTGTGGGGTCGCGTCGCAGATGCGCACCTGACCAGCTCCTTCTACCTGTCTCGGTTGTATGTCTACTCCACTTGTCGGTCCATTTCCCCCTCTCTCCGCCTTTTCTTCTTTCGACTATATGTAGGATGGTAGTGGGAAAAGTGCTAGATCTCATGACGAGTGCATAACATTTCGACTTTCTCTTCTTGACTACAGTTTATGAAGTCTTCTAACGGACGTGGGACGTGTTCGATGGTGCACCGCCCAGGTGTTATTTGTGATGCACTTTACGTAAGAGATACCTAGTATGGTTCTATAGCATCTCATTGCTAGTTATTCCAGTAATGATCTATCCAGGGTGTCAGCTTTCCCAATGGCAATTGTACCTTTGAGGGAGTGGGTACCCTGTATAAAATAAAAATACAATAAAAAAAACTGTTTTGTAATAAAAAGTAATAAGATCTTCATAAAGTGATCAGCCACATTATTAGTTACTCAAGTCTAATGTGAGAAATCAGTATAGTCCTTCGCCTAGACTGGCTGCCAGCCGATTTATTGAAAACCGCCTATTCTGACTAGTCTGGGAAGTCTTAATATTTTTCTCCAATTTCTAATTTAACTCGATTCATGTGTTTTTCACATGAGTGCCAAATATTAGGCCCGCAACCGTAACCTTTCAGCTATCGCTTTATTCAACACTCGGGTGAGGTTCCTTTGGAGATGTTTTGTTTTCTTTAGTAGACACAGCTAGATTAAAAGATTTTTTTCGTGTTTATTACCAATAGATCTCACTTGGATGCGGTAGGTAACTTGGATGTCAAAGCCTCAAAGTATCGCATTCGTTCTCTAGGACAGCCTATGGTTTTCAGATAATACCATTTGTTTACACGCTCGAACCTAAAATTTTTGCACAATTTCCAGTACAACGAAGTTCCTACACTGTCGTGTCTATTTTTGCCTTCCTTCTGAGTCTACTACATTTATTTATGATGGAATTTGTAGTTTCTTATTTTCCTTCATAACGGTGACGTTTATTGCATTTTTTTTCTGTTTTGTACGTTTTCCTTTTATGGCTAGTTATCAGGCATTTGTTCGCGTTTTTCCAAAGGGATTCTGTTGCAATTTTCATGTTTTTTTTATGCGTTCCTGCTTAACCATAATGACGTTGTTTCTCGCTGCCCTTAAATTTCTTCCTAGAGAGTTTTTCTTTTCTCGTTGCACTTGCTGAGGTCTTCGCTATTAATATTATATGCACATGGCTGATAGTTATCGCCGGTGGTGGGGAGAGTTAAAGCAAGCCTCCACAAATAACTTTCTCGCTATTATTACTATTCCTAGCATAAATAGTGTCCGATAGTTTCCCTGAATTTATTTCACAATTCCCGATTCCGTAAACATACCACCCAGGCCCCTCACTCAGTTTTTTTTTTCCACAGATTCCCCAGGCACAGGCTGGAAAGTAGGTAAGTGACAATTGGGACATCTTCTCTGCTTATGTCACCTTTCATGACAGACTAACGGACTGAATATATCCTTCGGGTGGCACTTGATCGCCAAAGTTTACATTTATTTATTTAAACTAGTTTTATTAACTAAACTAGTGGAAATTTCGATGTTTTTCGATTTGAAATTTTTGATGAATCTTAATTCTTAATTTAATGACTGAATAAGTTCATGGCGGATTCTACGACATTAAAATATCCTTAGGAATTCCCCTATTGCATCGATAAATATTTGAACTTTACAACATTTCAAAAATATTGCAACAACAAACATTAATATGAATGCTTGTCGTTATTTTAAGTAAGGAGGTACAAGTGAAAAGAGGTGAAATTCATAACTTTTCCATTTCATTGAAACAGACATTAAACACTTCTATTTTTCCTTCTTTCTTTCATTTACTCACTGAAAGCGAGTAGCGTCTTTGATATGTCTTGTTTTCTCACACGATAAAATTTAATGAAGAAAATATACTCATCGGCAGAATTCGAACCTAAACCCCATTTTATAGGAGAAACCACCGTCTACATCTATGTGTTGAAGTTTTGGATAGAGACAATAGGCAGTATTTACTTCGTGATAAGACCGTGAAACTTGATCTTACAAAGTTGATAATCGATAAAATCATCCACGAGAACTTCTGATTTTGGAATGGTATCGAGGGATCTACTGGAACATATGATCAAGGGTGATGAAAACGAAATAGTCGAATATTTATGAGGTATTAGCTGGAGACGATAAACATTTCTTTCTTTCTTTTCAATGAAACCAAGTTTCATCTCTGATATATCTTTTGCCTTTTAACGGAATAGACCATTATTCATGAGGTATTGGCTGGACGTAACGGTCTTGCAAATTAACGAAGTGGGGCACAAATGCAATTATTATATGATAGTTATTTCCTTCCCTTCTTATTTCCCTACTTGTGGACGCAGATAGTCGTCTCGAAAATCTCACTTGTAGACTTTACTGCTGGCCATAAAACGCCAATTGCTTCAAGTTAAAATAAATTCATTTACAGCGCACTTTACTATATGTGCATCCTGATCACAGCCTGACTCCAGTGTGTCACAACTCTCAGGTGTTCTATACAGTTCCAATATTGCCTGTTGTAATGGGTACTAATATAAACTTCATGTTTCCCCACTTGATAAGTTTTTGGACGAGGTCCTGGCTTGTGTTGACTCTGTTATTCTTTACACCTATTCAGTTATTAAATATCAGAAAGTTTCGCGTGTTTATGAGCACCACCTTAGAAACCCATTAAAATATCGACAGTTCCCAATCCTGCTGATTCGCCACTAACTTTATCTTGTCTTCCGGCGAGAGAGTCACGACTGACTTAAGTCAGGTTCCTGGGGATCAGGCTCACGAATATCATTTTCCAAGTAGACTGAAAGCGGTACGGTCGGTGAGCACGCCCTGAAGCCTATGAAAATATACCGAAGGTACACATTTCCACTAAAATGCCCGTGCGGATTTCGGCATCTAATCTTCGTGCAAAGTTGACTAAACATCTATAACCTCTAGCTGGCACTTTTCTCGTGTTGGGAGTATGGCAATTCCGAGATAAACATAGCAGAATTGTTTCTGTGAACCAATTCCTCCAAAACTCTAAAAACCAATTTTTATGTCTATTGCTAGAAAAGATGGTTCGTGGTGGCGTGCTAGACATTTTCCTAACGAGAAACTATTTTGCACCTTTATCTGTCCTTCCATTTAATATTGTTACTACATCTAGAATGATGCTTCTGTTCCGTATCTACAGATTTTTGACCAAATTCAAAGAAGAATCTGCACTGTTATCGATCCTAAATTGGCATATCGGTTTTAATGACTTTCCCACTTGATGGTCGTTCCTTTTTGGTACTTCGATTTCATAAATTGAAATTATTTTACTATGGAAATTGCTCGATGCAGCCGAATGTTATATCCAATAATTTCTTCTGAAGCACTAATCACCCGTGGGAAGCTCTTGCGGATTTTTGCTTTCCTGTTAACAACGACTTCAAAAGTTTAAATACAACGTCAATCGTCATCTTTATCCTATTCCTTTATTGTCCTTTCTCTTTAGTAACGATTTCTCAGCTGTCTTTTATGTCAGTGTCTTAGTAACTTTATCAACTGAAGGGAAATGATTTTTAAAAAAGTGGCAGAATGGCCCCTCAGTGTCGCCATCAAACATAGCACGTGGAACTAAAACAGTCTACCCCAGTGATCGAAATAAAGGGTTCAGTTCGAAATTCCAACCACCTTAAGAAGGCCAGAGCGTACAACGGCCGAAACGTTGTGACAAATATGGCGACAAAGATGAGGACAATAGTCCGACTAATGTAAATACTGAACTTTTTTTTTTGTTTAAATTTGATGATTTAAACTTCCTAACATTTCTTTTATCGTTTAGTTTTCAACTTTTTAGTTTTGTGCTATTTATTTCTTCACATGTGTCCTGGGTATAACGATAAACTACATCCAGCAGCAACCTCTCTAACCGATAAGTAGAGTGGAACCACCTCTTAATTGCTGTTGTTCCTTGGTCCACTCTGACCCAGAATGGTAGCCCTTCTTAAGTTCCCAGCTATGGGTAAATAGTGAGCCTCCAAATTAAAATTGGAACGCTACGAATGTTTAAAAATATAGTAAAACTTTTTACCAGCAATGCATTTTTGTGAAAAAAAATACCAACAATCCATTTTTGTATTCAATTGTGAAAGCAGTGTAACATATTATTACTTCAAAGCTCCAAAGAAAAGCATTTAATGAACCATACAAAGTCGATATGCCGTTAAACAAAAAAAAGCTATAAACTATAGAACTATTTCTTTACCTAGCTAGATTCCAGAAAAATGAGAAGATAAAATGTCCCTACATGTAATACATACAATCATTTGACACGTATTTAATTTATATGGTGGTAATTAAACAAAGTTTGACACTTACAGAGCATTTTGAAGGCAAGAGGAACAGAAGAAAGCACGAAATAAGCGACTTAATGAAATTTTGTAAACGGTTGACAGAGCAGGGATTTCGTGAGATATCAAAAAAAAACACAACTAACGCGAAAGTTGTGGAGAGACATAATCACCCAACTTCTGAAGGGACATGGCACAAAGAAGAAAATCATAAATAACGTGTTTTGCCGTTTTATGGCACTTTATTTTGCACTTTCAATATATTTTCTTAGTGAATTCTTTTTCTTCTAAGCGGACTGGCATTTATTAGGTGCAAACTATGAGTAGATGTGTTACGGTTATTTCTTTAAAAGAATTACAATGTTAGGGAAGGGTAAATAAATAACTGTATCACATCTAACCATAATTTGAACCTAATAAACACCAGTCTGATTATAAGAAAAAAATTCACTAAGAAAATATATTGAAAGTGAACTGATGCCAAATCCTGTACGATCAAGCTCGGACCAGGCTCACACACAATATCACCGATCAGCGCAAAAACAATAGCAGCACAATATGGTATACGAAATAATAGGGGGGGGAATCGACTTGGAATGAGCTGATTTGGAATCTAGCAGACGTTAACGATTTCAATCATAAAAAACGTCTTTCAGGCCGTAGAAATTTTCTTTTTTTGATTTCAAGCATGGCAATAATATCACTAGGATATAAATACAGTGTAAAAGAATGAGAGTGAAAGTAAAAAGAACGAGAAGACTTTAATGAGGAGAAGTGAGTAAAGGACAATAAAAGAACAGTATTCAAGAAGAAAGAAGATGGCGATTTACTTAGCATTTAAATTTTTGAAGAGTATAAATAGCATGGAAGAAAATATAGGAAGGTGAGACGTGCGTGAAAAGAAACTGTTACAGTAGAAGTGGTGATTTGAAGCTAGCTAATTCAATAGTAAAACGGTAATACCTAGTTGGCAATCTAGTATCACGCTTAAATGAATGTAGTTGAAGCAAGGAAAAAAACTAAAGAGAACAGTTACTATGAAAATATTTGTAGAAAAGGCAGAGGAAAACCACGTCACATTGGTTAGAAATTGACTGCAGTCAAAATGCTTGGTCAGGATTGATTACATTACAGACCATTCTTTGAATTTTGTCACAAGACTCGAGATATACAGCAGGAATACCAGATCATATTTGTCAGCAGTATTCAAGGCATGGATTAACGGTAGGTTTATAAATGTGCAAGATGGATTCCGACAAGAAAAAATTTCTGGCACAGCACAATGAACCAACTTTCAATATATTTTCCCCAGTTCATTTCAATGGAAATCATGAAATCAAGACGGTGTAGAGTTTTAGTCTCCTAGGATTAAGCACCAGCCATGCTTGTGGCTTGTAGAAAAAAGTTCTCTGTGTTGATTAAATTAATCAACTTTTGAAGACATTAAAATTTACAAGTCCTTTCCTGTCCCAGTAAACAACCGATTGGCGATCCGATTGCCAGATTTATTTTTTCGAATCTGTGGGATTTGCTACTGAGACAGAAGTAAATAGTAATGTCATCTGTATGAATAGTCAGTTGGAAACTGATGACGTCGGTCATTGACGAAAATTAGAAACAACAAATGTCTAAGGTTAGAGCCCTGGGGATATGCGCGCATTAATATGAGATGATCCTGAAGCGTACCCGTTCAACATAACCTTCATTACACGGTTTGTTAGGAATGATTGGATTGAGCCAAAAATTCTTCTCATGACACCGTAGCCCTGGAAGGCCAGCATACAAAATCCTGTCAGACGCCATTTAGATGTCTAAATCCATCGCCCGGGCGTCACCGTTCTTATCTAAAGCCTAGCCGTGATAGCCGTTAAAATATATCCCACCTTCATTAAAAAATTCCATTGCACATTCCTTTGTCTCAGATTCTTCTACATTGTTTCATTATCTCCATATTTGTTCGGTTATTTTTATTCCGTTAACACCAATTTAAATTATATTTTACTCTTATCTTAGTATTAGTAAAATATGTACCAACAATTTTAATAAGATATATCAGTAGATTTATAACCTTGACAGCAGCAGTAGTACAATAAATTATTGTTGTATTCACTGAATATATCTTCCTACAAATATTTTCTTCACAATCTATAGTAATAAGCCGAATGACGTTGTCCCTTAAAACAAAAAGTCACTGCATGTCTTATCATGTAACACTAACGTGCCACCTGTAAACACAATAGTATTTACTTTATACGAAACCTGGTTTCAGTTTCAAACTCTAGACTAGCCTGCTGCGTTCCCGTTCGCACAGACATCCTTTGGACTGGCATGAATTCATTCTTCTTTCTCCAATTATGGGTTAAATATCAGTATGGACTGGGTTCTCTTCGCATGGTAAATAGTCTGAGAGAAAGAAAACTCGTAACCCTAAACCGTGGAAGAGTTAAAAGGAAAAACACTCCACTACATTTCGCAGGAAGATGTTGAAAATTTACATATAATACAGAAAAAGACGATATGACTATTGACAGATGATAAATAAAAAGGATGAAGGAAGAAAGCCGAAGGGCGCAGAGGTCGAAACGTTATGATAATAACAACAAAGTTGATAACAATAGTCGGCATATAAATAATGTCTATAGGGATAACTTCTTTTCGCAGAATTTCAGACAGAAAAAAAAGAAAATCTGTGGAAAGGTCTGAGCACCTACGTCTTGAGAATGGATGACATTTTTAAAAAATGGCTTATTTTATTTCATGGCCTCAGCCGTATATTATCAAGTGACAAAGGAACTAAATAAAATAACAAATATCAGAGAGGATATTTACTAAGTACAGATTAACCAGAAACCGACCAAAGTCAAATGACTATAATAGTTGAACAACTTTGTAACAGAAAATACTGAGAAAATAGTAGTTATAATAGGAACTGAAGAATTAGTATTAGTAGAGCAGCAAAATCAAAAATATCGTTTCTTTGTTAATGCCATTGTAAATTAATAAGATAAATATAAAGGAAAATATAAAAATAATACTTTCAACCTTTTTTTTCTTTGTCCAAAGTGAATTATCTTGAGTGTTCATGGAATTGAATGTTCATGGAACAATTCAAAACAGTACTCTGCTATACAGCTCTCTAGACAACCCTTATATTACCACCAAATTTCTTAAGAATGTATGACAATTTAAAGATAAAATAGTAAAAGAATGCATGGCAATTCAGAGGTAGTAAAGAAAAAAAAGAATCTGTGGAGAATACTCAATAGCTATGACCTGAAAGTCGATGGTAATTTTTAAAAATGCTTGGATAATTCTGATACACATCTTTAGTAGTGGGACATACCATTGATAATTAAACCCAACAAAATAAGATACCAGAGATGAAAGTTACTAACAATCGCTTTCCAGATTAACTGCTGGTTACAATAATGGTATGAGAATTTCAAACAGTCTTTGGCTGAAAGTAGTAGTTGTAATAATAAATGAAGAATTTAAGAATAGATTTTCATTATTAAGTCATTGTAAATTCTTATATTACAAGACTTTTAAAACAGTAAAAAAATATTTTCAGCATTTTTCTTTCTCTAAAGTGGATTACCATGAGGGTACACGGAATTGAACAGTAATACATGTCCTTCCCTAATCAGTACTCTGCCATACAGCTATCCTTCAGACAACTCCGGCTTGACTGCTGTTAGAAGGAGAGTCGCAAGACATTGTTGTAATTCTGTTGGCTTATATATCTTGATTACTGCAAGTATAAAGAACAAGTGACTACTTGGGATGAGTTCTTGTCGTAAAAATTTCTGAAAAAGTACGAATGAAAAGCGAGCGATGGCTGCGGGCGGTGAAGTACAGACAAGTCAGTTGTCAATACTTTAGTTCTACAAGCGAGATGGCTACCTTTCAAACACTGTAGTAGTATTACTAGCATTTTTAGAGAATATTATGGTTGGAATATGAGGAACAGGGTGTAATAATAGTTGTACTAGTTTCCTTTATATTTTAAAGCGAAATCAGTGTCGAGTATTACATGAGCAGCAGTGTTAAGGGCATGAAAAGAAAGGGTAACCAAAAACGATAGTAATTCAACAGCGATCGGTGTATGAGGGTGATTTGCCACTTCAAAATAAAAGAGGCTCAAACAGCGTTAGAAACGGTAATTATTTGCCTAATGACGGCTAATGTGCCGCTGATAACGGTAGAAGTGCTTAGCGTTACAGCCATAAAACTATTAACTTTAACAAATTGTTAAAAGCTAATTAATTACGAGAAATCCTTGCGTCTTAAGTTCTCATCGTTTTATTCAAGACAATCAAAAATTAGTCTTAACATTAAATTGATGAGAGAAGCAGGAACTAAACACTATATTAGATTTTATTAAGTTAACTTTACTTTTCTTTTTTTTAATTAGTATAAAGCAACTAATGTTGATTTATATACTGGATAATTTCTTTGGTGGCAAAAGAAATGTAGTTCTACAGAAGGATGCTGAGAATACCATGGACAGAGCGTGCAAGCAACAAACAAGTCTTAAGTAAAATGGAGACAAAAAGGACACTTGTACTCAGAATCAATAAGAGACAGATGATATTTCTGGGGCGCATAATGAGGAAGGAGGTCTTGGAGAATTTGACGTTCACGGGGCGTATCAAAGGTAAAAGGGACAGGTGAAGGTGCCGCGCAACCTGCCTAACGAGCACGTATGTATGGGTGGATAGCGTACGGGTGTCGGGTGGCACGTGAAAGAAAAAAACTCTGAAAAGAGCTACAATGTATAGGAGGCTATGTGTTACACCTGACGTACCTATTCTATTATTAATAGACTCTCCCACACATAATAAGTAGTAGTAGTAGTAGCGGTCGCCAGTTGGGCTCAGTGGTGGTGTTGAGTGAGTCTGTCGGACATTGAAGTATCAAACATCACAACTAGATTGCTGCGTCATTAATTATTATTTCAAGTTCCTAACGTTTTGTACGTCGAACCTAAGTTAGGACGACTTATTGAAATACAAGCCTCCCCTGTGAAAACTACTCTACAACACTATGATCGTCAACGTCCTCAAGGAACACGGCGTAAAAAAGAAGAAGGTTCATAACAATTTATTACCAATATTCAAGATATATTTACATATAGATGTGTAAGTACATCGTTTTATTTTCAACTTATAATCACGACACGTGTCCCGTTAGTCATTAGATTCGTAAACACATGACATGTGCTGTGACCATAATAAAAGTGGCGTGCCTATGGCAAGATCGCCGGACGGTGCCCATCATACTTCAGGCCAGTTCTGAATTCAAAGTTTTCCTTCTCTTCGTCTGGTTGTCACCTCAAGGCAAGAGAATCAATTCAGACGTTTCATTTAACCATTAGCGAATGGTGAGAAAATATTCATATCTTCACCAAGCGTATCTACGCAAAAGTGAATATGACGAACTCTACTGTAATTCGAGCCCGGCTTGCTAAATTCCATTTTCGAGACGCTAACATTTACACTACCCGCCTGTTCAGCTAATAATGGTTATTCTTATTTTTTTAAAATATAGATAATAACATGTTTTATAAGTGTTTCTCTTATTCCATCAACCTAAGTGAAACAGTTTAAATCGTCCAGTTCACACTCCTCTCTGGTATTTTGAACAGGGGTTGTCTCTTTTGTTTCTTATTTAGGATTGAGTTACTTCAAAATCTTCTAATTCTTTTTTTACTTCCAATCACCCCCTTGCGCCTTAGCGACATTATTGCACTGATTGCTTTGTTTTGTGTTACGGCATATCAACCACAATAGGTTATTTAGTGCCGACAATTTTTATTGCTGGTAATGTTTTTTTTTCCAAAAATGTATTCCTGGTAATAATTTTTCTTCAAACATTTATTGCTGATAATAATTTTTATAAAGTATTTCTGGTATTTTTACATTTTCATATTGTTTTGACCCCATTTTGTGGTTTAACTATTTGCACATAGTTGGGACCCTAATAATTGCTATCACCCCGGGCCAGGGTGAACCTGGGAACACCAGCAATTAAAAGGAGGTTCAACGCTCCTCAAAACATCCTAATCAGAGGCCTTGCTGCTGGACGTAGTTTATCGTCATACCGAGGACGTTGCACTGATTGGTGTGAATTGATAAATAAATAAATAAATAAGCCTGAAAAACGTAAGCTAAATAAACATATACCCGAAGAAACGATTAATTATTTTATTTATTAATATGGATTCCTTGATTTTCTATAAGTTTCATCATTCTTCATCGACTGATTTCATTTTTTTCTAGTATTTGAACGTTAGCCTTACTTACAACAGTTTTATTCCTTCCTGAAGATCTTTGCTTAAATATTTTCTTACCATTCTCATATATATTTCTTTTAATGGTGGCCAAAATAATTTCTTTTGGATTCATATCTGGAGAAACTATATAGATATGCTATTAATTTCGTGTCTTCATAAGGAAATTGAATACCAATTTTTATTTGAAAAAAACATTACATAGTGTATATAGTAATGCTATTAGCCATTACTGTCCCTTTTTTAAAATCATTTTGCCCCAAGCAAGGCAATAAAGCCACTAAAATGCAAGGGTTGACTAAGTGTTAGAGAATATGAAGAAACGCTATTAAGGAAAGTGAACAACAAAAAGAACAGAATATAATGGTTAAAGATTCTATTTAAGGGAAAAGAAAGCCAGGACAGAGTTCCATAAGCGATAAGATCGACAGAAAAAACTATTAGCTTAGAACCTACTTTTACATCTAACCATTTCAAATGTAAAATGATGGAACCTTGCTACCAAACTAGCACTACGCTTAAATTCATAAAGTCTGGGTACTATACAGCAAAATAATATTTATTTTGTAAAAATAAAAAAATGTGACACAAGGCCAAAAATTATGGGGAATGCCGGTCTTCGTCTTTCTAATAATAAACTTAGCTACCCACAATTACTGGCCCAAACATACCTTACTCCAAAACAACACATCCTTGCTTACCATTCTTACTACAACAATACCTCAGAATCACTACGAAGTCCTAACTAGTCCCCATATGTACAATGCGTCTGTGATAATAGAGAATAAAATAACAACTTTTATCATAAAGAAAAGTTCATCGGAAGAACTATCATGAAAGTATTTATAGAAAAGGCACAGGGAAGTTATGTGAGGGTGGTGGAAAAGTGACTGAAGGAGAGATGCCAGGTCAAGATTAATAACATTGCATATCTTCTTTGGATTTTATCAATAATCTCTAGATACATAGCAGAAGCATCAGACCAGACGTTGCAGTAATATTCAATGCACAGACGAATGGTAGAGTTATAAATATGTAAGAGTGGTTCTGAGGAGAGAAATCAGCTAACATAAATGATTGAACCATCTTTCCTAGTAGCAGACCTATCAATTGATTCTATATCTTCTGATAGGAAAGTTGGTATATATACATATAATAACTGTACAATTGGTGTCTAACTATACCAATGAACTAAAAATGTATCAGTAACTCAAAGTCTGAGAATATTTTGTAGCGGCAATCCCAGAATGAGAATTAAAATCTTAGAAAAAAAAAAGAATAAAAAACAGTGGTTAAATAAAACACCAAACAATGACACAGAAACCAGATATGTTTCCCTTTGTATGTAAAATAAATATGAACGCTTTCTTTGATTTTTAGATGCAAAATTCTCAATAAGCTTTAAATAAGCTGACATCTTTTATCGTTATAGATGTTAATATAGACACCGGACATTGTAGTAATCGTTCTAAAAGTACGCAGTTAATGCCCATTGGTGCCTATAATAACATCTATAACAAAGATTAGAGCAATACTTGGAATAAATCGAGTAAGTAAAAATATATTGACAATTCCTTATTTCAAAAATCAAAGAAAATTATCAAAAAGCGGTACGTAGCCGACATGATAAACGGATGTCTAAACCATTTGACATTTGATGTAAAGGCTCCAAAAATACATCACTGATGTTCATTCATGTCTATAATAACAGAGATGAATACATTAGAAAATGGTGTAGCTACAATACCGAAACACGAATTGAATCTTTTTTTAGAAAAAGTCAAAGCCTGGTTAAACCAAATACTAACAAATGTTCCCATTGTAAAACGCAGACAATTATAATTATAATCAATATAATGCTACTTCCTCTAATATTTAGTTTTTTTTAGTTTCAAATTTATTTTTCAAATTTTCTTTAAATTACGGTAGCTGATAACGTCTTAGTACTCATTGTTCTACTAGTGGAAAATAGTTTAATACATATTTTTTTATTTTTTTTTCTCAATAGGACTATATAGGTTTGCTTATCATCCAGTTCTTTTGAAGAGAAGTATAGGTTTATCTATTGTTTACCTGTTTTGGAAGTTTCCGGTTCCCTCTAAAGTATTTTCCTTCTCTTTCACTTCCGGTGATCCCTGGCGTTTTGGTGACATTATCATTTTGTTTGGGTTGGTGCCTCTTATTCTGTAACCCTCTACTTTGAGTGGCTCTTGGGCCTAGTACAGTGTGAAAAAAAATAGACAAGCATTAATTTTGATTATTTCATCGGTAATGTACCCTGAAAAGACTAAAATACATTATGTGCTTACCTATCGTGTTAAGATACAATTTAGGACTTTTCATCAAGCTTTTGAAAACATGTCCAAGCAAAAAAAAAAAAAAAAATGTAACACAGTTACTTCCTAACTATGGATACACAGATAGAGCATCCGATACTGGAATTAAATTCCGGTGGAATTAAATGTCTAACTAGTCTTTTGATTCGCTTTCGTACAGATGTGGCATGGCAGATAAGGCTCTGATCGAAGAGGAGAAAAACTCTGAATTCCAAAACATGGAGAATGAAACGGGAAACCACTCCACGAACTTCTCCAAGAATTTATGGCAGTTCTCAGATGATAAAAAAATATCTACCGTAAGTCATGATCGCCAACTTCCTGAATGAAAAAAAAAGATGTCATAACTTTGCTTGCTGAATGTTGGCATTAACTAGAGACACCAGAAAATGACCCCAAAAACGTCAGAGTTGGTTGAGAATAATGAATAGTTTAATGGCAGCTTAAGTTTCGTATCTTCCTCGAACTCCACAATAAATGGAAACAATATTTTTTTAGAATACTTAGAAGTGTAAATAGTACTCGTAATAGTAGTAATAGTACCAGTTGTTTGAAAGAGTAGTAGCAGTAGCAGCAGTAGTAGGTGGCGATGTAGTGGTTAAAACAAAGTAAAGTTTCCCTTTTTATTAGCGTCTCTAAGAAAAGCAAGAGCGTTTAGTGCTGCTGGCCATTTAAGCACTAACGACGCTTCAGCAACCAGATAAGCGTACCAAACAAGTTAGCAAAGCGATAATGAAAGCACTCAAAGCTAGTCTGGGTCCGGAAGGTCCCGGTTGCAGTGAGTCGTGCTGAGTACCAACCGACTTTTGGTATGAGTCCATGTATGGATGCTGTGTGCCGGCTTCTCCGATTCATTCGGCACAAATCAGCCTTACAATTGAATGTGTTTATTCGACAAGGGCGTGCGTTGCTGCTCCGGGCTACGGACATAAGGAGGAGGAAAAGGAAGAGGAAAATAAGGAGGAAATTAATATAAATGTGAGTGAGTGGGAAGGACAAGATTAGGGAGAAAGTGATCGTAATGACTTCATCGGTAGTTCGTTATATGAGATTTTGATCTAGAAAGTTAAATGAGATTGGTTGATGGTACCATCGTGAAATCACTTTGAAGCGCGTGCGTATTTTATAGTTATTAGTTAAAAGCAAGGTTACTAGGCGTTGTTTGGCTGGGAAAAAAAAGATCTTTTCCAACGTTACTTCATTTCTTTACGTAAGTATCGTCCATTTGTAAGATATCAAATATAAGGAAGCAGATTGCATTTTTTACATAAAGAAGGTCTGTTTTATTCTGGTATTTGTCATCAGAGGTGATCTTCTTTTCTTTTTATGTTCCATATCTTTTCAGGACGTAGGTAATCATGGCTCCACACCTCCCTCTATCCCTTGCAGCTCTCAATAAGTTCCTTCCATCTGCTTTTTCTCCCAAACCATTTTGTAATCCACTTGCTTAAGCCTGCCAGGTCTGTCACGCGATGTTTTCCTTTGTCTCTCTTTTCCTCTATTCGACCTGTGAGTATCAGATTCTTCAGGCCCCCCATTCTCATTATGTGTCCCAGAAACTTCAGCTGCCTCTTCCTGATGTTAAGTATAAGCCTCTGCATCCTCTCTAAGACTTCATCGCTGCTCACACGCTCGGTTCATGATATCCTTTGCATCCTTCTCCGTCACCTCGAGTCTCTTCTTCATCTTTGAGCAAATCGTCCAACATTAGCTACGGTAAAGAAGGACAGTGTTATGGGGTCCACCCCTTTTTCATACAAGTGGACTCGACCAGTGTGTACTTGTACTGCTGCCGGTGAATATCTAAGAAAGAGTGAGTAACAGAGACGGAGAGATACACTGATACAGTGAGAGAGTGAGGTAACCGCTTTGTAGGAGTCACAGTTGCGAGCACGTAGACTCAGAAGGAAGTCATACTTCGATACTGAATTTCGCAGACTGTATGTATATTATTGTTGCTACTAACCGCATTTCTGGATCTACTAACCGTATTACCAATTACATTTATTTGCTATATTTCATTCCTGCGTTTGTCATTCATTTGAGACCGGATTTCATCTCGGAATCCACAACAGACAGATGTCACGTAACAGCTGAGTATTCTATTCTTTGTTACCAAAGAAATCCTCTTGTCTTCTAATACACTGTCTAGCTTTTGGAATGTGTCACTGGTCATCCCAATACATCTAGGGATTTCAGTGTCGCATTTACCGTCCTATGTCAAAACGCTTCCCAAATATTTAAACTTCCGCATCTGCATTTTGGGCTCATCCTTTTACTGATGACCATGCATTTCGTCTTCTTGTAGGTTATACCCTTAGTCCCTTCTTCTCACTCTCCGTTGCTACCTTCTGTAGGAGATTTTGTAATTTCTTTTCCGTATTTGTTATCAGAACTATGTCATCTGATGTTATATTCACAAGGGAGCGTGATTTTTTTTTATAAGGTTAATTTTTCTTTTCTTTTGTTTTAATCGAAAATGAATTTATTGAAAAAAAAGTTTGAACAAAGTAACTATAAACAAAATGTTTTTGTTTTGTTTTTTCCAGCATCAATGACGGAGAAAGCATCACCTCGCACCATCACCAGTGAGATACGCTGCCACAGCCACTCCGTTTCGCGAGGCTCGTCCCTTAATAGAGACGCCATCTCGCCAATCCTCCGAAGGAACGCTATCGAACGAGGGCCAATAAACCCAGAAGTCTCCACTGCTACGGGAGTAAAAGAATATCAGCAAGAGAAGAATATGTAACCATTTTTTTTTTATCTCTGCGTCCCGGGCGACGGACCACGGCTCAACCGTGGACGTGACCAAATTACCGGTCGAAAATGTATCCGCACAAGTCACATTCCAAATCAACTACTTTCCCCTTTTAAAAGGGAAAATGGTAATGCCATCCGGTCGCTTTCCATCACCAAGGCCGAGGCCTACGAGTTTGATCTGGGAAGGGAGCCCAGCTGCATCCAGACCTCTTCTGATGATGTCGTTTATTAGTGCATGCCTTGGAAAACGGTCGGCACTACGGCAACAGGAGAGAGAATGCAAACCGAACTCATCAATGGAAGCTCCACTTCTGCAACTGTGGCTCTCACTTGATTTGAGCCCAAGATGGATAGCGATTCCGACCCGAGTGCACTCATCCTCTAGAAAGGTGCCGATAGATGCAGAGGGCACTGCGCTGAGCCAGGCGCGACTACACGGTTGTGAAGCAGATAGTAGACAGGCGAAGCGATGCTGCCCCATAGAGAGCCTCGAATTCGTAAAATTCGCCTCGCATTTTATTTTATCCCAGGTTACCGTTTTGTCACGCTTCTCGCTTGTGGAACTCTCTTCCGGCTCCATACTTCCCAGTCAAGTTTTATTATCAAAAATTTAAATGCACTGTTAATCGCTATCCAATATCCTCCTTATTACTCTTCTATTTTTCTCGCCTTTTAGTAATGTTTCTGTTTTCTAGTTCTTCCACACCCAGTAAAATATTGTGTCTTAGTGGCTTTACTGCCTTGCTTGGGACGAACACAATTAAATAAATGCCACGAGATGATGTTAGCCTGACATGTGGGTAAAAGACGATTTTTGCAAAATGACATGCTGGATTTATGCCTAAAGATTGACTTTTTTAATATTTGATAGCTCTCCTTTTCAGAGTCGGAGAGAAGGCATATAACACATTTCTACACTTTGTTAGCGATTTGTCCTTTTCGAAAATAAAATTTTCCTGTAATTTCTTTCGACTTCTCCTTAGGATCTTTTATTTTATTTTTATTTTCATATTTTAAGTACATGCCTGTTCCTCCGCCGACATATATTTGCTATAACCCTAAACCGTGGACTAGTCTTGGATTTCAGGTGCCGATGCTTTTCTAGTTCATTGCTTGTTTTTTTATTAAATAAATGGGCAGATTCTGCCTGAATAAAGTTGAAATTACTCAAATATATCATTTTAATACATTTTTTTCAGAGCGAAGGATTCGTTAAGTGAGTCTCTCAATAACATCTCATTAAAGATACCATTTTAAAAAATATGAAAAAAAATATACGAAAAATTATTAGGATAATAAATACGTTTTGTTTGAGTTTTGAGATGTGTAAATGTCTATATATTTGATTCATTCGAACTCATCATCCCAGTCTTTGATTGTTGTATATGTTATTATAGACATCAGAGATTAAATTTAAGGCTCCATATATACACTACTGATATCATTTGGTGTCTACAAAATCAATTATTACAATAAAAAATGAAAACAATATTTGAATAAATCGAATCTCAAAGTCTACTAACAATTTCTCCTCGCAAAAATCAAGCTAAATTATCAAAAAGCAGTATGAATCTGATGTGATAACCATCTGATATTGGATTAAAGCCTCCCTAAATACAGTACTGATATCATTTGATGTTTACAAAAACATATGCTACAATCAAAGATGAAAATAATATTTTGAATAAATCGAATCTCAAAGTCTACTGACAATTTCTCCTTGCAAAAATCAAGCTAAATTATCAAAAAGCAGTATGAATCAGATGTGATATCCAACTGTCACTGGATTAAAGGCTTCATAAGTACACTACTGATATGCTTTGATGTCTATATTAATTAACCTTTTTAAAATATTTATCAACCTTTTGCAGGTTATTTAAAGCCATTTTTAGATTGTTTTTTTTTTTTTGCTGGTTAGGGGAGATAATAATGATTTACTGATACAACACCTACTAATTGACCATTAGCTGGCGGGAAAATAGGTGGATTCATACTTTTCCCAATCATATTTGCACTTAAGGGATATAAAGAACACGACTAAAACTGAAACCCAATTCTCCTATTTTCACTTCTGAGCTGTTTTCACTTCTCAAGCGGTGCCCCAACTAGGTACTGACCAAGTCCGACGTTGCTTAACTTTGGTGATCATACGAGAATCGGCGATTTAACGTGATATCGTTGGAAGCCTTCGGTGCCCGTATCTATAACAATAAAAATGAGAATAATAGCTAGAATAAATTGAATAAAAATAAAAGTATCTGTGATAAGAGTTATATTGATTTATAAATTTCCAGCGCTATCACAGTATTAGGTAAATTTTTGAAGAGTCCTTAAAACTCACCTGCTGTAGAGCAATTATTATCAAAAAGTTAATACTACTGTAAGTTCGGTCATCATTGTGCGTCTCGCTCTTGTCTGATTTCCCAACTGAGCAAAGTTTTGGTAAATAGCAGATTATTGAGAATCTTGTGGTAAAGACATCTAGCAAAATTCCAATTAATGCTATGCTAATATCGCTCCTCACGGAGTGTCCTGCACTTATAAATAACGGTTAATTCCAACAATTTGCAGAAGGAAAGAGTTGTTTTAAATAAATGGGGAAAATAATTAATCTATTGAAGCGGAAACGGAAGTGGGAGAGAGAAAAAATATCTCAACTTAGTAATAGGCAACGAAAGTGATATAACGATGAAAGGAAAGTTAAAATTGAAGGAAAAAAAGAGGAAGAGGAAAAGATGGCAGACAATGAGTTAGTAAAAGAGAGACGGATAGAGAGTGAGAGGCAGGATAGGTGGATTCGAAATGTATAGAAAGACTATGTTGGGTAGAATTTTTTTCGAAAAGTCGTCGAGAGAAAGAAAGGAACAGAAGAAACGGTTGGGATAAAACGTTCATTTCCGTTTAGATAATCATTTTTGATTTAGAGTAGAATAAAATCGGAAAATATTGTAAATAATCATACGTAAAACATGGTTTTGATAAATTTATTTCATATTCCTTATTTATTTCATTATTTATTACTGTTTGGTACTTCTCTGCTGAAAGGGAAATTACTTTTTTTGTATTACTGATTGAATATATATATATATATATATAGATAGATAATATTAGTGGTAAATATGCACATACATATGCAAATATATAAATATATATACATACATGCATACACATACATTTCTCTCACTTAAACCGTCTTTGACTCCCCTCTCTAAAACTTCTCTTTGTTAAATTTTAATCCCCCACCTTCTCTCGTCTGTTACCC